GGGGGGGGGCTGTTGTTTTTTTTTTTAACCCAACGTAGATCACTAAACTGACGCACCTGAGGCATAATTGATATAGATCTATATCACTTGTCTCTCCAGGAGGTCTTTAGGCCTACTTTGTTCGTTCTCTTTCGATTTTCAGGTAGCGTTTATAATACACAGTGCGCACTGCCAAGCAGATTCATTGACGACTGAGTCGGCGCAAGACAGATTTTTCCGTCTTGGATGGGGTCAAAGCTTCCATTTTGGCATAATACGACCGATCGAGTTCTACTAAATTCGACCGCGACCTTCAAAATCAAAGACTCGTTTTTCAAGGTCGTGAGTCAAATCATTGCATTGTGCCAAAATGGAAGTAGCATTTTTGTTTATGACAAATCCAAGCAGGAAGATCTGAATGGCTACTACTCAGTCCAATGATGAATAGGATTGACAGTGTGCACTAGGTACAATGTAGTAACATACCTTATCGTTATAGAGGGAAACAGGCACTGATATCCCGCCCACACCCCAATAAAGAGAGAAAGAAAGAAAGAAAGAAAGAAAGAAAGAAAGAAAGAAAGAAAGAAAGAAAGAATGACAGAAAAAAAGAAAGGGAGAAAGGAAGTAAGAATGAAACAAAGAAACAATAAAGAAGATATAATTTTTTTTGAAATCGTACGAAAACACACAAACAAACTAAGCAAAAAACAAAGGAAAAAACCTCCAATTAAAACAAAAACCTCTCTCTATAACTCACTGTAGTATTGTTGTGTCATACTGTATTTGATATCCTTTATTTTCCACACCACCTGCAATGCAGCCTTCCTTGTCCCCACGGGGTTCCTGTCTTATGTTTCACTAAACTCTGACATATGCGGAGTTCACACGAAGTTCTCTGTCAGATTGTGCGATTGTGTTCATGTGCAGGTCACAAGGTCAGATTTGGGAACGAAGGAATAATCTTTCTTGTTCTTGTTTTTCTTCTTCTTCTCCTCCTCCTCCTCCTCCTCCTCCTCCTCCTCTTCCTTTTCCTTCCCCTCCTCCTCTTCCTTCTAAAATTTATAATTATTGTTATTGTTGTCATCATTATTATAATTTTTAAAATCATTATTATCGTCGTCATTATCATTATCATTATTCATCATCGTTATCATTATTAATGTTGCTGTCCCTATGTAACGTTTCTGTAAAAATATTTGATCTCTTTTTTCCCCCTTTCTAAATAGTGCAAGGTCAATTAATAGAAATTGCGTCGGTGTACAAAAGTGAAGTCAAATCCACCCTCTTTGAGAGAAACAAAATACCAAAATGTTTAATGTTCTAAGCCCAGAAAGCAAGATTTTCCAGGAGAGAGAAAAATCGGATTAATTTCTAAAGACCTGTAACCTCGCAGTGTATTTTATCCTGTTTTTTCTGCATCTATAATTTGACTTTCAATAAAACATTTTCCTCAAGCACACGCAATCGACACCGCAGATTAAGAAATAGCAATGAAAATTTTACATCAACATTTTGAGGTTAGTTCACCTGAACAGCCCGTCACCGCTATGTTCTTCCCCGTAGCAAAATCGGTACCTCAGATTTACAAAGTTCTATCTTCTCAGTGCCTAGTTTTGAGAAATTTGACGTCCAAAATTGAGTTTCGAAACTGGTCAAGCTTCTTCCGAATGACATGTACAATATCCTTTAAGAAATGGCTGGTCTGACGTATTTTGTTTACGAGGATCAAATGAATTGTCACTTTGGCAAATCTGCATGTCTTGAGAAGTGATTAGAAAGAAAATGTTACAACCAATAAAAGTCTTAGACATCTTGCACCCCCCCCCCACCCCCACTGAATTCCAAACTACAACAACAACCCCGAAACAAAACAAACAAGCGAAAGAGATTCTGTTTTACGCCATTGTCAGCACAAATGGATCTCTCGAATGGTGAAGTTAGTTGTTACAACCCTGAACACAAGGGTCTATCAGGGCTGTGTGGGGTGCATCCGTGCAGAAATATGTCGTTACGCTCATAAGATCATTGCCTAGGTCAGTTTTGAAAAGTTTGAAGTTTAAAAAAATTCTGAAATGAAGAGCAGAGCCAGCTTGACAATATTATATAGTTCACTTGGACAAAAGAATAATCCCAATTTACATCCAAGTGAGTGTACCAAAATTCAAGCGTTACTTAGAGTCATTTGTTCGAGAGAAACCCTTTTTTTACCTTCTCATTTTCTCAAAATGGCTAAAATGACTTTGGAATTTAATTTATCTTGTGAGCTTGATGATGTGTCAAAACGCAGTGGAACCAGGCGCTGGTCAATATTTGAGTATACGGGGCTATATCTATTGGTATCATCGTAAAGCCTGCTCATTTGCCTTCCTATTGATGGAAAGAATACCCATATATCTTGAATAGAAGTCGAGATATTTGCCATTGAAAGAAGTGGGGTGGCTTTGTGTCAGAGGTAAAATTAGCAAGAAAATGGCCGCTTGAGTTCGGTGACTTCCACAGCTGTAGTCTCCTTGGAAAATGCAAATTTACATTGTGTATGCCTTTGCTCAACGTTTTAAGTAAAATTCACCCAGGAAAGTGTTTTCAATTGGACATAATAGAATGTGTTAAATGATCGATGACTGTTTCCCAAAGGGTGAAAAATGTTTTTTTTTTCTTTTCAATTACATTGTTTTGACGAGCGCCTCATTTCACCACGACGCTACACGAATAGAGTTACTCGTTGGCAATATATATATTATCTACTTAGAAGGACCTCAGCATGAAGAAAAAATGTTGGATGCTGCCCCTTTACCTCTGCCCTTCCCACCCCCCTCCACACGCCCCCCCCTACCCCCTAGTAACAACGACTCGCACATAATGTGTTTTGTACACCAGGCCATCCGATCGGAAGACTATGATGCTTTTTCGATGTTTGTTGTTGTTGTTGTCGTCGTTGTCGTTGTCTTCTTCGTTTATTGTTGTCGTTGTCATCGTCGTTATTGTTATTATTGTTTTCTTTGTCGTCGTCGTTGTCGTTGTCCTTGTTGTCACTGTCGTTGTTGTTGCTGTTGTTGTTGTTGTTATTGCTCTTGTTGTTATTGCTGTTGTTGTTGTTATTATTGTTGTTGTTGTTGCTGTTGTTGTTGTTGTTGCTGTTGTTATTGCTGTTGTTATTGTTGCTGTTGTTGTTGTTGTGCTAATTTTTATTATTGTTATTTCTCATGATGATGATTATGATGGTAATGATGATGATGTGATGATGATGACTAATGAAAACACCTCTTTTGTGAGGCCGTTCTCCCCAGTAATATGTACTGTGTTCCCTTATGTCTTATCTTCTTCGCTCCTGGAGAAACCTTTGAGGTGATATGATTATGTCATTTCAGTAACCAAATATGTTTTGGTCATTTTCACTCACTGATCGAGATGCTGGGGGTAATAATGTAGTTTGCAATGCGCATAGAGCTTGCTGTTGATCTGGAATTTGCTCTATGTTATCTCTTATTATAAGAACCATCACCACCACCCCCTCCCCCCGTTTCCCCGATACTCTGGGCTCCTGACTCTTTCTGCAGAGCTGTCCTACTACTACTATTTGCCTCCTTCTTACTGCTGTCTTTCAGCCACACCCCTGATCGTAGGGTAGGTAAGATATAACACGTAGGCTTCTCGGATAAGAGCAAAATATCTCGGAGAGCACGTGTGCAAGTTTCGTACGTTAATTTCCCTTGGTGGTCCAAATTCGATAAGAGTAGGCTTTGGCCGCCATCCAGGCAAAATTCAAAATTAGTTCCTACCAAACTGAAAATGTTAAATTATGTATCCCGCGTGCTCATATTATGACATATTATGCAGTTGCAAGCACTGTAAAATGCGTACCAAAACAAGCAAACCAACTTTTCTCTTCAACTTTTGCAGCGTTCGAAGCGGCCTTATACCACCTGGAGGAAATGACCGACAACCCGGCGCTACAGTGTAAGAAACCCACGCCCTTCGTGCACTACATGAGCGACCCTACGGGGCTCAACCGCATCTACATCCCAGAATGCGTCATTCTGCACCGATGTCTCAACTTCTCTGGATGCTGTGGGCATGCGGGGGACTGCGTGCCCAAAACTACAAACATCGTAAGGAAAGCATTCTTGGTAAGTTGCCATCCTAGTCTAGTTGCAGGAATGTGAATTAATGATGATAATAATATATGCTTAACGCCCCTATTAACACTGTTAGGTTATTTATGAGGCGATACCTCCCAAGTTTAACGTCCAACTCCAACGTGTCAGAAAAAACAGGACGTCCTGACATCGATGGAACATTTTCTTCTCTAATATGTTTTTGTCCTTTCACGTCCTTTCCTGTTTTCTTATCATGTTCTGCCGTCTGCTTTCATCTCCACTTTCTGCCCGCCCCCCCCTGTTTTCCCTCTCTTCTGGGCTCCTGGCTCTTTCTGCTGCCTTTCTACTGATACTCATTGGCTCTTTTAACAGCAATCTTTAAATCTCACCCCTGATCTTAGGGAAGGTAAGATCAAACATACCTTCTCGGATAAGCGCGAAATATCTCGGAGATCCTGTGAGTTAGTTGCCCACGGTAAAGATCCGTTGGTGGTCCTAAAATCGATAAAAGTAGGCTCCGGCCGTCACCTGGGCAAAATTCAAATTTAATTTCAACCGAACTGGAAAGGCTTAATGTGTCTCGCGAGATTTTTTATTAAAGTCGCAAGCGCCAACAACACTTTCCCAAACGAAATGAACCCGTAATCTCCCGATGATGGGTCCGATTGCCAAACCCCTTGGCTACCGAAACCTCTTAGTCCGGTTTATAGGCCTCTGGACTTGCGGTAAAAGTAAGATTATATAGTCCCCCTTTTCACTTTGTTTGGCCCTAGGGCTAACCATGCCTCAAGAGGCCGTCTTAAATACAATGTTAGGCGTTGGACCCGCAGTGAAAATAAAATATAGCCTTCATTTCAAAGGGTTTGGCCTAATGGGCATCCCGGGTCACCATTAGAAGCAGGCTTAAGTGCTGTGTCAGTCATTAGAGGACTTGCAGTAAAAGTAAAGAAGTATAACATCCTCTTCCCTCCCCCCAACTTAGGCCCATTTCGAAATGTTTGACCCTTTGCATAGCATCTCGGTTCACGTAGTCGCAGCCATATTTTACATGACAATGTACTACTATTACTGCTGGTGCTGAACATAATAATATTATTATGTGTGTGTGTATGTGTGTGTGAGTGTGTGTGTGTGTGTGTGTGTGTGTGTGTGTGTGTGTGCGTTCGTGCATGCGTGTGTGTATGTGTGTGTGCGCGGGCGCGTGCATGAGTACGCACATGTACATGTGTGTCTTTGTTTATCCATGCATGCATATCTGCACATGTCCACGAATAAACACTTGTCAATGTACGTGTACGTATAATAATATATGAATTTCTAATCATCCGCTATTTAATTTTATTGTTCCCCTAAACTCTAACAGCAATCATAAAATGATCACAGCAATAACTAATATTTATCCTGCTCATTTCCATTGTCTAAAAATTCTCAATGCACGCAATAACACAGTCAAAAAGATATATCACATAATATGGAAAAACCAGACGAGCGTTCAATCTTCTAATCTATCTATCCAGCGCCGATACAATCAGTTTGTTCACAGAAGCACTGTAGTCTTGCTCCAGCCTGTTGGCCCTGTTCTTTTTCCCTCTTCTGTTTAGAAGGTAATGTCAACAGCCAGGACGTCTGTGAGTGTTGGCGCGGGTATCTCGTCTGTAGGCTGTCTTCTGCTTTTCAACGTTTCCCTCAGTCTGGCACTGTGCCTTGCGGACTTTTGAAGGGGGGCGTGCAACTAATAAAAGAATGAGTTAAAATGGACGATAATAATAATAATATTGATAATAATGATAATAATAATAACTATAGCTTCTTCTTCTTCTTCTTCTTCTTCTTC